TATATTATAAATAAAACAATATATTTGTAATTAATATAATATTTTAGCTGCAAATTAAACATATTTATATTTTGAAAAAACCCAGAAATAGGTTTAATTACTACATGTATAATATTATAGTATTATACTATTATAATAATAATGTAGTAATCTAAACAATTACTATATTATATCTCTTACAAACTTAATTCTCGTTGAAAGATAAACTCAAATATTTTCGATATTACACAAAGAAATATATTCATTGGTACTAAGATTATACAAATATTACCCAATGGAATATTAATCATTGCATAAAAACTTCAATATTACCGACAAAAATGTCCCAAACTAAACGGATATTTCAGTTTTACTAGAAATTGTTGCGATAATTACAAACACAAATGAGTCATTAAATGGTTATTTTCTTGAATCTATACAAATAGATAATACTTCAAATGTAACGGATAGTAATACAATATTACGGCATATAAATTATTGAATGTGAACTACTATTGATTTTAATCAATTCTCGTGACAATTACTAACCCAATCTCCAACATTTGAAGTGATTATTGAATTATGAGTTACATATATTCTAACGTTTTTTGACTATACGTTTGACTAGAGATATCTTTTGTAATCAAACAGTTTGTTTTGGAATTAATCGCAACATATTTGCGGATATTTTTATTTTCTATTGGCTCTTAATTATATCACATGGACATTTATTGAGTCATATTATTAATTCTAATGATTCATGTTAATAATTACATCTTGTGTATTCAATTGGTTCTCAGTATAAATAAAGTTTAACGTTCAATTTTTTGGTAATTTATGTTTAACTTTCCTCTTATGTAATTGAATATTCATTTTATATTGATAATGAATATTTTGTTAAACCTAAATTTATAGTTACATTCTTACTTAACCAACAATTTATTCTTACGATTTATGTCCTAGTAATATTAATAAACACACTCCATTGTTCTCATACAGAATGTTAAGTACATTGTGGTTTAAAACATATATTTATCATATTTATTCATTCATAGTTTTTAAATGAGTCAATTAATATGACTAGCTATTTAAAACATGACTTATCAATCAACTCGAAGTTTACGTTCAATTAATACGTAATATTGATTAATTTTTAATATTGTTAAAGTTGAGAATTCTTTTGATAAATGTAAACTTATATAAATATATAAACCAGCTATCAAAGATTCACATAAAGTTTACCCATCTACTCATACTAAAAACTATTAATTAATAAATATTTTATATTTATTAAGTTTTAAGCGCCAAAGCCATAAGTATTTGCAAACTTTACCACCAAATTAATTGTAAGCAAAGGACTATGGATAATAATTATTTACATGTGTATAATGCAGTGGGTTTTATTAATATTACTGGGAGACAAATCGTGAGTAATAATTGTAAATATTCAGAATATAAAAATATTGGTTAACAAAAATGGGTTGTATATGGTCAATATTATACTGTGAATTTACAAGGAAAGTGACACTAGAATGCAAACGTTGTATATTCGTAAAATTCTTATGCAATCTATTGTTGCTGTTTTTGGTAACACTATGGGTTATATATAACGGGGGTCATATTAAATCAATTGAAGAAATTAACGATATAATTTCACTCGAAACGAAGGAGGGTTTCACAACCAATTACAGTAGTAATGATTTTAATGAAACCTACGTTAATGAATCCGAAAGGCATAATTACAACCGTTCCTGGGATGGGCCAGATATTGTCAAAATACATCACCACGAAATTTATGTGACCACTAATTTAGTCATTACTGCCAATCAAAAACAATCAAGTTGTCCAGAACATCCTATTATCCCGGAAGTGCTTTGTGAGCAGGATAATGACTGTGTGTCAGGTACGAAGAGACTTCATGGATATCAAACTGGCAATTGTGTGCGTGCTGACTTTCCCTATCAAAACCAAACGACCTTAAATTGGAAAAGGAACATATCCACTTGTGAGATTAAAGGTAAAATTATAAAGTAATACAGAATGTAATTAAAACAAATGATTGTGAATTAGAATTTATTATTTTAATCAAAACAATAAATGACATTTTAGCACTTATTAAATAATGACAATTCTAAGGACTTGTCAGGATTTAAGAACCAAGGTATTTTATTTATTGATTAAAATATATTAAAATTCAAAGGTAAATCATTTAAACTCCAAAAATGACGTTCATAAATTCTTATATCCATAAATTACGTAGATATAATAGAATTTATAAAAATTACACTTTTTCCCTCATTCAACTTAGGAGCTAAAAGTAAACCTTTCTGAAAAAATCATAAATTACGTTCCCAAATATCTCCGTTATTAATGGACTTGAAATTTTTTAATGTAATTTATGTGATCAGAATTCAAAATATAATCCCATAAAAATATTTTTAGCCATAAATAACGCATTTGAAAATTTTATGCATGGTCATTTTGGCTAATGTCTAAATTTGGAGTGTATTACCATTTAGTAGTATAAGGTTTCACTTAGTTTTGACCATCGAACGACAAACAAATAGGGTGATTATGATTGTCATGTATAGTTTGCCAGTAACACAATTAAGATTTAAAATTGATTAAACTTGGTGAATTAAATAAATTAACTTGTTAAATTTACGTTCAACCAATGCTAACATCCTAATTTTGTCATTTAAATAACGTAAGTTTTATGAACTGTACAAACGATGAATAAATCTTTGTCATTGTATCACTGCTTTGTGCCATCTAACATCATTTTGATAATTTTACCAATAATTACAGATATATAAATACAAAATAATAGTATAACATTATATTCAATTAAAAATAATGTTATTTTAATGACCAAATGAGGATGTTACCGATATATTAACGTATATTTAGCAAAGTTAATTTACTTAATTCGCCAATTTTGGTCAATCGAAAATATAAATTATGTAACTGGCTAACTATTCTAGACAATCATAAGCACTTAATTTATGTTTGTCTCTCGATGGTCCCAACTTAATACATTTATTTTACACAAAATATGCTTGGTTATTCACCAAAAAAGTTCATAATCTCCAATGGCAATCAGTCCTTTACCTTTCACCAACATTTAAATAGAAAACAAGGTTTGCAAGCAATGTTATTTGCAAAGCAACATTTACAGAAAATCGATTATATAATTAATTATATTTTCATAAAGTATCGATATACATATCGTTAATCAATAAAATCTACAATTTGAATTGTGATAATTGTCATAATTTTATAATCTGTATTTGCCCTGTAAAGTAAAATTAATGAGATGTAAGTGATTGGCGTTAAGTAGAAGGGAAGGAAGGAGGACATGGAGGGAAGGCGGGTGAGGAGTGAATAAGTATAATTTTAAACCATAAGTTCAATAGGTTTAGCATGGAGTTTAAATTGATATTTAGCACTTTTTAACCAATTGGGAGTGAAAGGAGATAAGGGGAGGACAGCCAATATAAGGAAGGCAAGGAAAGGTAGGGAGAAAAGGGAAAAGATAAAGGCGAGTGAGGGACAAATAAGTATCATTTTAAATTACTTGTATGTATTTAAACTACCTAATTCATTTATCGGTCCCTTAGGCCTAAAATGGGGTTTAGTATATTTAGCACATTTTGGTAATTAAAATTTTTTTTATTACATTCATTCAATTTATAAAATGACCATTGGATATATAACTTTTAAACATGTATTGTATTATTCAAAAATAACCATATTTATCTCGTATATAGGGTGGTGTCCAGTTGATCGAATTCTACCACCACTAAAGAACTATTCAGCAGTGTTAATCCAAACAAAAAACATTACGTTGTGGATTTCCAATACTATTGTATTTCCCGAATACAATATAACTTTATCTAATTTAGGTGATAAAGACCACGCTTATTTCCGTAATTGTACATATCATCCTCACTATAATCCTCATTGTCCAGTGTTTATGCTTGGTGATATCATCAATTTTACGCCAAATGCGGGCGCCACGTATGATGAGATTGCAAAGTTTGGTGCTGATATTATTATCAAAATCAATTGGAATTGCTATCAAGGCATTTATTCATTTATCAAAAGCCAACCTTACAATAAATGTCTACCAGAATATTCTTTTCAAAGAGTTGATAATGAACGTACTATGCCAATCACAGGCTATAAATTTTACCTAGATCGTATGTACTATGATTACGGAGAAAAGCGGACACTCTTAAGGTTATATAGTATTAGATTTAGAACTGAAGTAAATGGAGTTATTCATAGCTATAGTACTTATAAATTTCTAACAAGTATTTCTGCCTATTCTTGGGTTTTTATTTTCTCAAATTTTATATTATATTTTTATATTAGTAAGCGATATCCGGCTTTAATTCCTGAAATAAACAATATCATTGTTCCTCAAGAAAATGAGCCTGTTGAACAGGTGAATTTAATTAATGATTCTAATGAAAATGAGCCTGTTGAATAGGTGAATTTAATTATTGATTTTAATGAAAATGAGCGAGATGAATCGGTGCATTTATTAAAGGAGAGCCTTTAATAATAACCAAAAATATACTCGTTTTATTATCAAAATTAAAATGTAACTTAAAGATGTCATATCAAATAGCAAGAATACAAAATCAACTTTTCCAAAATTCTTAAACGCATAATAAAAATTGTTCATTTTGAAACAAAGAACCAACGATCTTATTATTTTCCTAATAGTAAATTCATTAATTATATTTCAATTTAATTTAATGAATGCTATCATACAATTGTACATGGTACAGACATTTTCTGTACATACATATTTATGTTTAAATAAATGTGACAATCTGTTAAAAAGTATTTGAAAATAATGGATAAATAGTAGGGTAGCTTTGCCAGGTCTTTTTCGATATTGGAGGACAGATAGAAAAAATCTGGCATTTTCTGGAAGACTTTTGGAGAACAAGAGTATAAGGATACATTCAATAAGTAGATATATACAAAATTTATCCTTAAAATTTACCCTTTTCCAATTTACTAATTGATTTTTCTTAAATAAAATACAAATTCTATTAATTCTATTTATTTATCTGAAAATGTGGAAAAATAAATATACCCCTCTGTTTAAAATAATATTTCATAGCTAATGTTTATAATGTTAATGATTATGAATAATAAGTAATGTTATGATTTAGATAATAACTTACATGATGTTTATAAATGTAAGTGATATTTAAATTCAAGGATTATTGTCATCCCATTTAACACTTATTATAATGCTTTCAATTATTATATAACTTTTTGACTAATATAATTGAGGGTCACTTATGTATTAGATTTAGAGCTGAAGTAAATGGAGCTATTCGTAGCTATAGTTTTTATAAACTTTTAACTAGTATTTCTGCTTATTCTTGGTTTCTAGGCCTTTCATATTATATATTAAATATTCATATTAAAAAGCGACATGCCGCTTTAATTGCTAAATTTAATCATAATATTGATTCTCATGAAAATGAGCCTAATGAATCGACATATTCAACTATTGGTTCTCAAGAAAATGAGCCTGATGAATTGATGCATTTATTACCCTCCCTCAGCACCTTTAACGCATTTGATAGTCACGCATAATGGCCAAATAATAGTGCCTATACTTTAACATGGAATGTATTGTGGCCGAAAAATAAGGCGACTCTACTAAGTTCATCATGGTCAGAAAATAGATCATTATTTAGCACTATTTATTGTATGTATAATAAATAAAATCACTTTAACGTTTGTTATCTAATTATCTTAATAATGATTTAATAATATTTTTGAAATGATTATGGCTACAACTTATTAAATAAACATTTTTAGTCGAGTTTGCTAGTATATAATATATTTTTTATAAGTTGAATAATATTTAATTTTATTCATAACTTAAGATAACAATTATTTATTAAAGAATTTCTAAAATATATAATAATTTCTAAAAATTAAAGGTTGGATAAATTGATGTTATAATATAATTAGAAAATAGATAAAAGCTCAATTTCTGGACTCAATGCCAACGATGACATTCTTAGCCGATTTAAGAGCAGTAAATTTGTTGTAAACGAGGGGTACTTCCGTTTGGGAAGTCTTCACAAATCGAAATCTTCGTATAATGTGAGCCAACGCTAGCTTCGCCTCCATTAAGGCAAACCTCATACCAATGCAATTACGAGGACCGGCACCGAAGGGTAGGTAAGTGTAGGGAAGTAT